TTCGAATAAGAAGCTCTACCGTTTAAAAACGTAGCTTAAATACCTAATATGTGAAGGTACAATTATATGAAGTATATACGAAAACGTCGATCAGTGAAACAATGTTCTGCCACAGGAGGTAGAGTCCAAATAACAAAATTAAATTTAATATGTAAGAAAGTGTGTCTAAAATCGTCAAAATTCCGAATAAGGGGACAATTATACACGGTGAGATTGAAAAACATTATATAGTTTACTTTTTCCAGGAAAAAAAAGTTATTCGTGATGGAATTCAAGCGTGATAGTGTAATTTATTTACATTTGGCTGCAAAACCACAAGTGGCTACCGATAGAGCACTCCAGCATTTAAAAGCGAATGAATCTTTTGTGTCTCGTACAAATGCAAAAAATGAGGTTCCTCGCTTGATTTCCAGTACACAGTGGCCACCAAAATCTCCGGATTCCAAACCGTTGGACTATTGTCTATGGAGTATTTTTAAAAGCAAGGTTGGCACTAAAATATACCAAAGTTCGATCACCTCAAGTAAGCGTTTCGCCGGGAATGGTCCAAAATACCCCAGATCAATCATTGGCCGTTTGTAGGCCATAATTCGTGCCGAAGGTGACCAATTTGAACTAAACTTATTCTAAAAATTGATGCTATTTTTCGACAGTTTTTGCTTTCATTCAATAAAAATTAAGAAAAGAAATTTAAAAATTATGGCGTTCGACTTTGTTGAAGCTTTTTTATCTCACCCTGTATTACAAGTAGAGTTGTCCTTTGTCTGGTCAAACACTAAAAGAACGTTCAAATGAAAACCGTTATATGGGGGCTATACGAGGACGTAGGTAATAATGTCGCTAAAATTATCAAAATATCGACTATCAAAATACCGAGGTATCGTTGCACGAGGTCTATACGAAGACATGAATCTGCATATGCAGGGTTGCCCATATTCGACGGACCCATGACTCTTTGGGCCCATTCCAATCGACGAGGCTTGTCCGCAGGCAACATTCTTTGCGTCAATTGAATTTTGTACGGGAACAAATGCAAATCAATGCGAATAATCCGTTGTAAAGTGGACCGAGCCATGCCCAACTGCTGAGAACGGCGTTTTTGGGATGTTCTTGTTTTGGGATGTTTAATTCGTTTTGACTCTAGCGTGATTACAACAAGCGAACATCAAGAATATACATACTTTGTCAGGTCAGGAATAACGAATTTAGTATACCCTCCCTATTATGTGCGGTGGAGGGTATAAAAAAGAAAATAATCCAGTATTCTTATCAATAATATTGCCGAAGACGCTATAACCTAAAATTCCCGGGTTCCAAAGAATCTTAACCCGAAATTTTCAAAAAAATTGGAAGAGGAAGGAACGTGTCAACACTACTTAATCTTAGTCTTTTAAGATGTCCTGGAAAAAGTATAAATATTTGGAACAAAAAATACTAAATTTAGAAAAATTATAATATTTTATTAAGAGTTTCTTTGGTGGCTCTGAAGATATGGACCATGCGCATTTGAGGACTACTGGAGTACAAAATATTTCACTATGGCGGGGAAGGTGAATATTTTTATATAGAACGTTGGGTATTAGGTGGGCCTGCAACGGTATAGCGATTGTAGACTCTAAAAGGTGGTTTCATACACTCTGTTGAGTTGGAATCCAATAGCTAAAAACTAAAATAAATTTCCCAGAGTAAAATTTTCACTAATTTTGTTACTGAAAATTAAATTGCGAAAATGCCATTGCAATATGATTCATAGAAAAACCCATTCCACTGAACATTTAATTACTGTAATACAGTTATTCTTAGATTGTTTTTCAAATCTCCGATTATAAGCAATGATTATATTGTTTATGCCTGCTTCGAAAAGGAAAACAATTTTTCGTTCTCAAATCGTATTGTGCACAAAATTCAAAATTAAACAATTCCAAGTGTTTGGCATACAACAAGAAAAATAATAGCAGTTCAAAGTGCATCAATACTCACCGGCTTACGTACAGAACACAGCACACAGTATGAACGTACGTAGGTATGTATCGACATCGATGTACATATATGGCATTCTTATCAATTGTTCAATAACAACATCGACAGCGGCAGCCAAAAAGCCACAAAACTCAACAGACGAAGCAATTTGTGAGACGCTAACATTGATACTCAAGGCATTGCATGCTTTTGGCACTGAATTGAATCGGAGCAATATCTTACATCGAAATAACATTTGTGCTAAGTAAACTTAACTTTTCCTGTCGAGAAGGGCAAGATGTGGTAGTAGCTGCGGCAGCAACAGACCTGACACTGATGCGATACGATACGATACGATACCGTCTTTAAGAGCCATAGTTTATTAGCCAAAAAGAAAACATTTTAAGATCAACCGCAATAACCAAAAAAAGAAAAAAAAAAAAAAAAAAAATGCAATGAATACTCTTGCGTATCATGTTCAATACCAAATTCCTATGCAAACCTAAAAAGACGAGATTGTGGGGGAGCTATTTGAGGTAGTGAAGTAAATTGTTGAAATCTACACTATTCAAAATATTTTTGTAGTTGTTTTAAAATTTCAGCAGATGATTTGCATATAAATTTTGTCCACTTTTGAAATCCTTGACAATTATTTGTGACCATTTCGATAGGATCGGGTGACTAATTTCTAAGTTATGATAAAAGTATATAGGTGGGGCCGGCTACACCACTATGTGTTTTTAGTAGAGCTCCATGAAGAAGATACAAAAAATAGCTGTATAGTGCACGATATGACTTCGATAAGGAATATATTAAAAAAATATTTATTGGAGCAATAGATACACCGGACCGAGTTTCACCAAATGGTAAAATTCTGTTAAATATGAAAAAAATCTCTTCATGTTGGGCTGAAATTACATATATGATGAGCAATAACCGTAAAATCGGATGAAGATGTATATTGAAGCTATATAAAAATCTGAATCGATCTCGATCAAATTTGGTAAATGTTTTTTGGAGCAGTATTTGATACCCGGTATCAAATATCGTTGTTGTGGAGTGCATAATACGCATGTGAGGGACTATAAAACCAAGTCGGATGAAATATATTTATAGGAGCTATAGCTATATCTGAATCGATTTTAACCAAAATTGGAAGCACTAGCTTTTAGGCCGAACCGATCTGAACCGATTTCCATCAAGTTTGATGTACTTGCGTCATTTTGACTGACAGTGGTGTACAATTAATCAGAAATCGGTTGAAGGTATAGGTATAAATTTGAACCGATTATCACCAATTTCAATAGGGTTCGTTCTTGGGCCAAAAAAAAAAAAAAATCATCTCACTAGAATACATGAACGAACGGAGGGACGGACTGACACGCATAAATCGACTCAGAAAGTGATTCTATGAAGATCCTCAAAGGTAATTATGGGTATATCTCGCTTCCTTCTCGATGTCCGTCTATCCGTCTGTGGAAATCACTCTAGCTTTCGAACGAAATTAAGTAGGTTGATAATATTTTACTCAAATGTATATTTTGCCAGCAGGTCTCTTGGTGTTGAAAATGGGGGATGTAGGTCCACGTTTTGGTATAGCCACCATACAACGGTACCTCACGATATTCGGTATTTTGATGATTTTAGAGGCATTATTCATCGGAATTGTTTCAAATTTGGTATTTGAAGACCTATGACAGAAAATTGTCTGTACAGGTTCACGTTTTCTTATAGCCCCTATGTAACGGTATCTCCCCATATTCGGTATTTTGATGATTTTAGCGACACTATTTACCGGAATTATTTTAAATTTGGTATTTGATGTTCGTAATGGATGCTAAAGCCTATGACTGAAAGTTGTCCGTCTACGTCATCGTATAGCCCTCATATAACGGTACCTCCCGATATTCGGTATTTTGATGATTTTAGCGGCATTATTCATCGGAATTTTTTCAAATTTGGTATTTGAAGTTTGTAATGGACACTACAACCTATGACAGAAAATTGCCTGTGCAGGTCCACGTTTTGGTATAGCCCCATATAATATCCTCCCTATATTCGGTATTTTGATGATGTTTTCTGATCGGAGAAAACCAAATTCGGCAGTTCACCACTTTTGGCCAAGCGAAGCAACTCGTTAGCTCTTTTAAGTCTATTGTTTCTGTTGCGGTGTAAGTTCTTGGACTTTTTGGAATTTCAATAATTTGCCGAATTGAATACTGCGATATGCTCAGCTCACAAGCTATTTTTCGGCCACTACGACGCGGGTTTCGATCAAGTCGCTTCTTTACTTTTCGAACCATTTCTGCTGATGTGGCTGTCTTCTTCTGTCCACTTCCTTGACGTCGGGCTACGCTACCAGTATCGCGGTAACGAGCTATGGTACGAGACACAAAAGATTTATTCACATTTAAATGCTGGAGTGCTCTAACTATAGCCACTTGTGGTTTTCCAGCCTAATATAAAGAAATCACACTATCACACTTGAATTCCATCACGAATAACTTTTTTTCTGGAAGATTCTCATCAAAATGCTTTAGTACGCTTGTAAACAATATAATGAGCTGCCACTGGAATAATTTTAACAGCTGTCGGACGAGTGGCTTAGAAATGACATAAGTTTAAAATTGGTTGCAGTTTTTTCATCTCACCCTCACGGTGCATTTAACAATTCATTTTGCAAATTTGCAGTGGCTTCTGAAAATTTGTTGATAACTCAGTTATTTTATCAAAATTCGTTGATATTCACTAAACGGGATTCTTCCGCCAGATAAAAAGTAAATTCCACAAGGCATTTAGCAAAGTAGTTTAATAAGGCTAAAAATTAAGTCCGTGAGATTGACCTCTGTTCGTCATTTCCACATGTGATTGTGTATGTTGTAACATACCACGGTTGACTTACTTTGTAATGACAACAAAAAACAAGTGTATTTGTGTATAGTCCACAACCACCTTTGGAAGATATATTCATGGGTGACACCTCTAACATTATCCAAACATTTTTAGATTAAGTTCTTTTTTTTCTTTTTCTTACCTTTCAGGCATCATTGCCAGCATCGTTATCATCTTCAAATACTTGAACATATCCACTAGCAACAATAACAACAACAAATAGTTATCACCTATGGGCAAGTGTATATCGAAAAATCCAACATCTCTTACGATAGCATTATCTGAAAAAGATTTGGCAACAGCCAGCCATATTTTAAGTAAATTCAACGAAAGTTCAGAGTATATTGCACTTAAGGACAAGCATAGGAATCAATTATGCGAGTACTTTGCTGTCAACGATGCTTGTGCACCATCAAATGGCAGTGGCGAGGTGGTTGTCGTCCATAGAGCAGACGTCGGGCCAAAGGCCAAGGGGCATCTTCTACAGGCACACAGATGCGAACACATTGCACTGGATGCGGACGGACAACAAGTTTGGCATCTTTCATCGCAACAAGAAAATAACCACGAAAACACTTGTTTACATTCACCGGACCATGGAACGGCTGTGTACCGACTGCCCAACAAGAGCAATGATGCATTTGAAAACAACGTTGCCGATGATAATGACGACGACAACAATGCGGCCCAACGAAATGACGACTGTAATGACTATGGAGACGTCATAGAGTCTGTTGTGGACGATGACAGTAGTTATACTACAATTGCAATTGTTGGGTCTGGAGACTCTTGCCATCACAGCGATTCGCTTACAAATAAATATTTCGCCACAATGAGTATCATCGACAACAATGGCGACAGCAACAATAACAATATCACCAACCTTGCCAATAATAACCACCACCACCGCCAAAGTACTAACAACAATAATTATTTCGTTGATGTACCACAAAACTTGACGGAACTACTCCTCTATCATCATCATCATCGTCCTCATCGTGGCGCACAAGACGATGACACCACACAACAAGCTGTCTTGGCCATGGCCAACCGAAATCAACATCGGGAGGAGCAGGAGCAGGAATGTCCCGCAAAACGGATAAACAGTTCTAAGAAGAAATTGAAGAAATCAAAAGAATACAATTACGTCGAGGACGCCGAAAATTCCACGGAACAAAGTGCAAAGGTAAGTAGAAGAAATATGCATTTGCGAATATACACTTTGCATAACCATCGCCTGAACTCGTTCAATATGAAACTAAAGAATATAACTACAATTTCATTTAATTGCACACAAATCCCAATTAGGTTTCATTAAATCTACCGCAAAAGTAGTTTCTATTGAAAATATTTCATCAATTAAAACTAAATTTCGAATAATTGTGGAATTAGAAAGGAAAATTAAGAAGAATTTTTATGAAGGTGTTAGAATTGACTGTTATTGATAGGTCGTTTTCATCTATATGAGGATTTAAATCCTTCGATTGTAGATAATACGGATTTTTGTCCTTTTCCCCAAAACTAAATCAAATCTAATCTAAATCTCAAACTTATATAAATATGTAAAAATTAATTTGAAAGATAGGCTACTAATTGGAACAAGTAAAACAGCACCAACGTTCGGCCGGCAGAACTTTTAATACCCTCCACCATTTGAAAGGAACTCGAAAAAATTTAAAAGAAATTCTTAGAAGAATACATATTATATGAAAATCGTTATATGTGGGTATAAGAATACCTGGACCTGCATAGACTATCTGTCATAAGTTGTAATCCTCCAATCAGAAAATTCTATAAATTTTACGATTTTACCCTAATGTCTTAATTACAGCCAAAAAACATCGGCAGTTTACTTTTGCGCCACCTTGTACATGGATATGTACTTGACAGACATACCAATACTTTTTGGCTGTAATTAAGATAATTAGAGGCCAATTGTAAATTGTATAGCATTTTCTGATAGGAGGATTACTTTTGCGCCACCTGTAATATCAATTACGGACTTCAAATATGAAATTTGAAGCAATTCCGATGAATATTATCGTCAAAATCATGAAAATACCGAACATCGGAAGGTATCGTTATATGGGGGCTATACGAAAACGTGGATCGATATAGTCCATTTACGAATTTGCCTTCTGCGAATCTACCTATCTCAATTCTATCTCAATTCTCTTGAATTGAACTTGGAGAAAATCAAATTCGGCAGTTCACCACTTTCGGCCAAGCGAAGCGACTCTTTAGCTCTTTTGAGTCTATTTTCCTTCTGTTGCGGTGTAAGTACTTGCACTTTTTGGAACTTCAATTTCTCAGGGTAACTGAGCTCATTTTTTCAATATTTGCGATATGTTCAGCTCACAAGTAATTTTTCGGCCACTGCGAAGCGGGTTTCGATCAAATCGCTTCTTTACTTTTCGAACCATTTCTGCTGATGTTGCTGTTTTCTTTCGTCCACTTCCTTGACGTCGGGCTACGCTACCGAGTGATGGTACGAGACACAAAAGATTTATTCACATTTAAATGCTGAAGTGTTCTAACGATAGCCACTTGTGGTTTTCCAGCCAAATATAAAGAAATCACATTATCACGCTTGAATTAAATCACGAATAACTTTTTTTCTTTAAAATACTCATCAAAATGCTTTTGTACGCTTGTAAACAATATAATGAGCCGTCACTGGAATAATTTTAACAGCTGTCGGACGAGTGGCTTAGAAATGATATCAGTCTGAAGTTGGCTTTGGTTTTTTCATATCACCCTGTATATCGAGTAAGATCTAAGACCATGTTAACAAAAACCACATTTATAGAAAAAAAGGATAAGTAATAGTTTGAAATATCCAAAAATAGAATTTCAAAATTCTATTCCATAGACTTTCCCAATTAATTACATATATCTTGGCGCACAGCAATTACGAGAACAGCTTTTCATTCTTACTAAAGTCGTCTGTTTGATTTTTGACATATTATCATATTTTCATAAATCTTATTGGGAAGGTCACCGGACACAGCTAATATCCTTTATTATTCCTTTTTTATGTGAACCGTTTGTGATTTAATTTTACCAATTTTTGTCGATAACAGTGTTAGAGTATTAAACTACTGAGTTCATTTTCAACATCCTGCAGGGCACCCTCAAACTTATTAAGGACACTAACCTTAATGTGTTGTATCCTTTACCAGATGTCGCTGGGACATAACAATAGACCTTAAAACAACCCCCAAATAGCTAGCACTGGGTATTTCGGTATCTCCCAATTAATTGTTTGTTTTTATTGTCACTGCGCATGTCCTATGGGAAAGTCATAACATCCACACGAATTGCAATGCCATGAAAACCCAAAAATTTCCAGTGTCACAGACATTTTTCATTCATTCGCAATTTAAACAATCGGACTAGTTCATTGTTGAAGAAAACCAATAGAAAAAAAGAAAAGAAACAACAAAATAAAAGCAAATTTGTTTAAACCAATAACGGAAGCAGTAAATAATTCTAATTAAATAAAGTGAATTAGCAGAAGAAAATCTGTCAAGCTATTGCCAAACCGGAAAAGAGTATCTGAAATACAAAGAAAAAGTCACTTAAACATGAAAATGATTGTCCTTTATTCAAGGACCTTTTTCGAAGAAGAAGCAAAGAAAAAGAAGTGCTCAATTTATAATTGTTAAATAAGAGTTAATACAAATAAAGAAAAGTTAATAAATTTAAAGAAAATAACAAAAAAAAACTCCCTTAAGAGAGCTTGTAAATTTGTGTGTATTTGTGAAGCAAACGTAGCAAAGTTGAAAATTCAATACAACCTGGCCCACCTAAACAGGGGGCTCGACGATTAATACGCAACCTACAAGATGGATGAATGTGAAAACCTCGTCATCGATCTAGAAGAATACGAGGAGTTCGATTTAAAGCATCAACAGCAAAGCCAAAATTTACTCAATGATAACGACATTGAAGTTCTAGAATTGACAGCAAATTTCGATTCAGAGGACAATATGGTAATAATATACAACAACTATTTAATACACTTGAAAGATATTTAATCAGCTGATAAAAAAACCATTTTGAAAGATAAAAAGTATCCTTAATTTTATTGCGTTTGTCATATTTCAGACGGGGCAGATTTAAAGTATTTATGTGCGTCTGTAGTATTTGAGGTTTATGTTGCCTACTGTCGGGCCTTCATGAATTACATCCAAACTTCTAAGTGGGGTATAAGTATTTACCAAGGCATGATAACTAAAAGTTTTTTTTACATTAGCAGTGTGTAAAAAATAATGGACTTGTTTTTATACCCTCAGTCATATGGATAGAGAGGGTATATATCATTTGATACGGTCAAAATAACAGTTTTAGACCAAATCCGTTTCAGGCATTTCGAGTCGTTCTAGCGATGTCCGTCCGTCTGTCTGGCTGGCTGGTGCGCACGATAACACTCGAAGGGAGTATATGATTTGGTCCAAACTTGGTACATCGTAATATTTTTGTCAAACCTAGATCGCGTTCGGAGATGTGCCATATCGGTCCACTCCTTCTGATACCTCCCCCACAAAATGTCGAAATTTTCAAAAAATATATTTTCTACACAGAAAGAAAAACGATAATCCGATTTTGCTCCAACTTTACAAATTCAAATATTTGCGTCAGTGTTAGGTGCGGTGCGAAAATGGATAATATCGGTCCACTCTATCAAGTACCACCCCCACAAAGGGTCAAAATTTTGAATAATTAAAACTCTTATAAAATGTGATGTAAGAGTCCGATTGTCTTCAAATTTCACACATCCCAATAATATTGTTAACCCAAGGTCTGGTGTTAAGATGGAAAATATCGCTCCAAACCTTCTGGTACCTCCCCCACAAAAGGTCGACATTTTGAACACACATGAAGCTCACAAAACGCGAAATAGACATCCGATTCCATTTAGACTTGGAACATCTGAATATTTCTATTAACACAGGATCTGTTATAAAGGCGGTAGAGATTGGACCTTTTCTTCTGGTACCTCCCACACAAAGGGTCAAAGTTTTGAATAACCAAAATCCAAAATAAGCATCAAGTTCTCTTTATATTGCACACATTTCTAACACAAGATCTCTTGTAAAGATGGGATATATCGGTCCTTTCCTTCTGGTACCTCTCCCACAAAGGGTCAAAATTTTGAATATCCATGAAGCTCATAAAACACGAATTTAACATCCGATCCCATTCAGAATTATACATCTCAATATTTCCATCAACACAAGATCTGTTATAAAGATGGTAGAGATCGGACTATTTCTTCTGGTACTGCCCCCCATAGGGTTCAAGATTTTAAAAAACCAAACACTCAAAGTAAGGCTTAGGATACAGGTCTGTCGGCAAAACCGACTGATGTTTTTTTTACTTTTTTAAGATCAAAACTATAAGATTTGTACTTGAAACGCTAACGTATTTCCATTCGATATTTCCCATACGTGGATTCATATATTTTTCGGAAAGAATAATCGGAAAATGTTTACTTTTTACACCAGAAAGTCAAAGTCTTTCATTTTGAAGTTTTTCGAGGAGGATATAAGTAAAAACTTTGCACAATGGACACACATTACACTTTCAGTCCAAAACTTTTTCAACGTCTCCTTATGTAAACCCTTGAGACAACAGTGGGCTCAATATAAAAAATTCAAGATTTCAGATGTATCCCTTCACCCAATAGAAAACATAGTAGCATGTAATTATTTTCATACAGTGAAAGTATGAGTTTTCAATATAATCTCCATATCTCTAATTCATATTTCAACTCTGTAATTTCCCCCATTACCATGAGTTAATACTATTTAGTACAGTTCTAGTACTCATATCAAAACCAGCTGCTTCTCTCAACCACAGACACAAACAGTGACATCCATATCAAATTTCAGGATTTCATTCTTTCATCCAACTCTAAATTTAGTACTTTTCGTACAATTATAGAACACATTTCCAAAACACCGCCAAATATCAAACGCAAATACCATAAGTAATCTAAATATCAAATTTCAGAAATTTACCTCTATCCCTTCACCCAATACCAAAATTGTACCATTCAGTACTTTTCGTACAATTATAATACACATTTCCGAAAACACCTTCATATGTCCAGGCTACACATGACAAGCGATCCCAATACTAAAATTTCAGAATTTAAGCACTATCTGCTTAATCAATACC